AAATAACGAAAGAATAAAATAGAATTATTATTATATAGTTTGGTTTATGCAATAGGATAAGGTAAAAATTGCTATTATGATTTATTGTAATGTTTGGTTAGTAGGAATAGCTTTGGAATAATCAAAGAATAAATAATAAAATGACAGTATTACCTTATTATAATAAAATTTATTTTCATCAAAAATAAAAATAAATTCTATTTTCATTAAACATCAATAATTTGTTATTAAATTACTAATATAATTTATTAATATTTTTAATTTATTATTAAATCAGTAATATAATTTTTATATCAATTATTTGAATCATTTTTCTTTATTTGTATTTTTTATTTTTTAATCTTTTAAGTTCTATTTCCATTGAACATTCATAATTTATTATTAAATTATTAATATAAAATTTTATTTTAATTTTTTTCTTTTTTATTTCATTTTCTTCATTTGTTTCCTTTTGTCAAATGACAATCAAACCAAACAGTCATGGCTAGACTCACACTTGACAAATCATATTATGATATTTGTCAATATGGCACCAAAATGAATGAATTACTTTCTGATGAAGGACAAAAGTTCTTTCCTACTTCTGATGAGGTTTGTGAGAGTTTTTGATAAAATGGGTTTTGAAAGAAAACCTCCTAAGAGGCATCTATGCTTATGGGTTTGAGATGCCATAAGCAATTCAACAGATTGAGAAAATCATTCATGCCTTTGGTGATTATTTTGGAATAAAATAATATTTATGTGTTCGTGGGAGGATCATCAGATCCTTGTTGGTGGTATTCATGTCGATGTTGGTATTCCTAGTCGTGTTTTTTACCATACTTTTGGCTAGATCGATGCTCCAAAAACGTTTACCATTTCTCCAATGGTTAGAGATGGAGGACTTGGCGATGTTGACGGTGGCTGTGGAGGAGGATGACGGGATGAAGCTTTTTCAGAGAGAAGGGGTGAAAGACTACAGGTGGAGTTAGCCAATTTTTGATGGGAGGGTTAAAGATAAAAAAAACAAAGTTTAAAACTTTTAAAAATTAATATTCTAAATTTAACCAACAATTAAAAGATTGATAATAGAAAATAATTTTAGATAACAAGAAAATCAAGAAAAGAAAAGACTTACAATAATCTTTTAAGAAAGTTGTGCTCGATTATATTTTCTATATTAGAATTCATCAATTATTAATTTGTACTGAAAAACATCAATTTCTTTAATATTGAGTATTAGATGTTTTGATTCAAATTGCTCTTATTCATGAGTTGAGGTTGGTGGTTTAAATGTAAGAGAATAATTTAAACAATCCGCATCTTTTCTTTCAAAGAATTGGTCAATTGTTTTTAACTTACTCATACTTTAATCAAATTAAAAAAAAATTAATACAATCAATATCTAATACTTTTATTGAAACTTATAATACTAAATTTAAAGCTATAATGTACAAAATATAAATAGTTAAATACGATATACAAAATTAATAACTTCTTTTTATATAATTAAGATTGTTTAAAAACTATATATTCAAGATAATTTCTTTTCAACTAAATATAAAATGTAAAACACACAAAAATATATACTTAAGTTTAATTTTCTTTTACAAAATTAGGATTATTAAAAAAATATACATTGATGAAATTTTAAGTAACAATGCAACATTACAAGTTATTTTGAGAACTACATAAAAATTTATTAATTTTAAAGATTAAAATCATATAAAATAAAATCTACATAGCAGAAAAAAGAACAACATGGCAAGTAGAATACAGATACAATTGTCAGTTAAAATTCCACTACGCAAGTATACGTATCGAATAGATAATATATTAGCAAGTAGAATATCGATCCCATAGAGAATTGATCTAAAATTTTACTAAGAACTAAAATTAGAACAAATTAATCTTATCTAAACACTCAAAATTAATTGATTAACTAAAACTAATTAACTAAAATTTAAACTAATAGGAAAAATCAAAATAATAATAACTTGAGTCAATATCAAATCAAACAAGCCTAGGATTACAATATTCCTCATACTTCATCTAAATCTTACCTCTCTTTCTTAACTTATTTCAATGGTTTGAATTGCTAACATAGAATCCTACATTATTTATAAGGGTCTCTCGACCCATCTTATAAAAATATTTATTTTAACCAAAATACTATATTCCTATGTGGATTGAAATTAAAATAGATTCATTAAGTTTAAGCTCTAATCTGGCTACATATGACGTATCGGTATATCCCTATTTTATACACGAATCAAGTAATATGATCATATGCTATCCCAATTTTAGTCTACACTAAATTCCCTTTTCCAAGTTGTTTAGGTTCCTAAATCAATTTAACTGGTGGCCGAGCAATTAAAAACATTAAGAATAAATTGGAATAAACAATTCAAATCCCATTGAAAACAAGCAAGAAAGAGTTTAAAAATTTAGATTACATGCGAGTTCAATTGTAATCTTAGAAAAATAAATTAGCTCATAATATCTAATAAAGACAATATCTAAAGAAATTTAGTCATGAATCCAAGTCAAAAAAAATAAGAAAAACACAAAAGTAAGAGAGAAAACTAATAGTTAAAGTTTTGTGATCTTGATTCTGCCTCCAACTGTCTTGTTTTCTTGTTTTGTTCTTGGTTTCATATCTCCAGAATAGTTGCTTGCTACCTCCTCTTTAGAATCTTTGAAAAAAATCCCTTAAATAGGCTCCAAATAACCTAATTTCTAAAATCTCATCAACTTTGTTTATTTTTGAAAAATCGACCAGCACTGTGGCGCTACTTCTCCAGCGTTGCAGTGCTGAGCTCTCTGAAAATTTGTATATGTTCTGCCTTTCATCAACGCTGTAGCCTTGTTCTCCTAGCGCTGTGATAGTCTATCAACTTCAAATGTAAGTTTCATCCTGATATGATCCGAATTGGGAAAAGTGGTAAACATATCAGTTTTATCCATATCTCTTAACTTTCCAATGGATTAAGAATCATATTAATTGGACTTCTGGATTGAAAGATATGCTCCAAATACGGCATCATGTTCAGTCCATGCATACTTCTGCAGTGCTCCGACTTTGACAAATACTTTGATCATGATACAGTTGGAACTGGGTAAATTGGTAAACATAAACATTCTAGTCCTTCTTCTTATAATTCTATTGGTCTAAGAATCACCTCATTTGGAGTTTTGTGGATAGAGATATGGTCAAAATACCAAAACATATATGAATAATGCCATCATCATACTAGCATGATTTTCAGCGAATGAGCCTTTTTCATCAATTTCCTACAAAAGCCATAAGAGAAATTAGTAATAACTACTCTTAAAGTAATTTAAAAGAAAACAACATAAAATTTAACTAAAATAACTTAAATTAATCACTTAACGAGTAATCAAACTTAAACTAGAGTTATCAACCATATATAAAATAATAAAAAAAGTAAAAAAAAAAAAGAACATGGTTGATGGTTAGTAGAAATTTGGGAAAGAAAATCTATAAAAACTTAGAACATATGAGCAATAGAATAAAATTGAAAAGAATAAACAAATATAAATAAAAATAATAATACAAATTGAAAGAAAAAACAAAACAACAATTTCAAAGTTGAGTGAGATATGGGGATCATTTTGTTATTCTTCATTTGTATTAATTATGAAATAAAAAATTATTTTAAGGGGGTGATTAAGTAAATATATAAAAATTTTATATAATATAAAAAAATTTAAAAAATTCTGGAGGCTTCGCCCCTGTGAAAGACAGATAAAGAAGAAAAAGAAAGAAAATGAAAAAGAAAAAACTCTTTTACAGGTTATAATTTTTTAAAATAAATAAGGATATTTTTACCTAAACTATTTTAAACTTTTTTCTCCAGAGGTCGGAATAATTATTATCATGGGGAGGTGCTAATATGTATTCCATGATTATAAGGAATAGTCGATCTTGAGGAATGGCTATTCACCACTCAAAAAACGTAACTATCATCTTGTTGCCATACACATCTTATAATATATATTATTTATTTAATTACATTGAAAAGAATTTTATAAGTCTTAGTTTTGTGTAATGCATCTTTATAAGTTTTTCCATTTGTTAATATATGTTTCTACATATGATTACTTACCATTCTTGTGATTAAGTTGTTAAACATAGTGCAAATTCAAAAAAGGTAATTTATTCTCCTTGCAACAAAAAGAAGAAAAGAAAGAAAGAGTGCGAACATTTGAAAGGAGATGCTTCTCTTTGATGATAATTCATTCATTGCTTGTTGGTTGGGAAATGCTTTAGAGCAACGATAGAAGGAGAAGAAAGTAAAAGGATTTAGATTGAGTTTTACTCTCCAAATTAAGAAATCCAAAAAGCAAATTCGCAGCTCAACGCAACTAGATAATGCTGCAAGTTTGTACAATTAGAGAATAAAGTAATCCTTATTTACTTTTTCTTTTAATCCATTGCTTGTTTTGGATGTAAATGTTTCTGAGAAAAGATAAATATAAAATAAAGTAAAATTCTTTCCTTCAAGGTGATCCATCCTTTTAGAAATTGTATTATGTGATAGATGTTAAGTAAAATTTGAATATACTTAACTTAGTATATACTGATGTTAAGGAAAGGACTATATATTATCATTATTTTGTCCATTTCCAAAAACTTTAAAAATACTACTTTAAGCATATTAGAATATAAAAAAAAGAATTTTAAATAATAAAAAAAAATATAAATGCTTTTAAGCCATTACTTACATTACTTTATGTAAAAATTAGAAAAAAACATTTATTAAAATTTATTTTTATGAGTATTACTTTACTACTTAGAAAAAAGAAAATAAAAAAAAAAGCCTAAGTAAGTAAGAGTCATTAGTATTAATATTTAATGGTGTCAGTGTTCCAAAGTTTGGATTGTTAACAAACACAAGAAAAGAATAAAGAGAAAGAAAAAAGAATAACAAGTGTTTTTCTTTGGTTATAAATATTGATCAATAGCCTAATCTTTCTTTCTACGTCTTTCCTTACTTATGGAGAAGGAGAAGGAGAGAGAGAAAGCTGAGGAAATTCTACATTTTAGCCATCCACATTCCTTGGTAGTGTTCAATGATGAAGAGCAGAGTGAAAAAAGTAAAGAAGCTCACTGCTCGGCATGTTTGGAATTGTTATCGGGCCGCCTAAGTTTTGGTTGTGGAGAATGCAAGTTTTACCTCCATAAAAATTGTGCCGAAGCACCCCCCGAAATTAGTGATTCCCCTTTTCATCGTAAGCATCTTACTCTTGCTCTTAGGTTGTCATCCATTCTTTGTGATTTGTGCAAGGAAACAAGTTTAATGTTTAAATATCGTTGCACTTCTTGCCCTGCTGCCCTTGACATCAAATGTGCTTTCCTATTGCATAACATGGATGAAGATTTTCGTGAGTTTAAATATATTGGTCATGAACATCCATTGACCTTCTTTGAAAATCTTAAAGATGAACTCAAAAGAGTCGATTGTCATTGGTGTCAAAAACCCGTGATAGATTCCGTCTATGTTTGTCTTAATTGTAGATTTTACCTTCATAAGCAATGTGCTCGGTTACCCACTCAACTTTATCACCCTTGTCATCGCAAACACCTTCTTTATCTTGAAGATGGTTTCCTTGTTTGTAGGCTATGCCAGAGGGACCATTGGAGTTTGTTTTATCAATGTCTTCCTTGCAAGTTTGACATTGACATTGAATGTGTTCGATCAAGGTCAAGGTTCATTTTTGAATATAATAATGATCACGAGCACTCATTCACTCCATTATTAAAGGACAACCCATTCGTTTGTGATGCATGTGGTACTGAAGGAAATTATGTTCTCTTTATATGTTCTACATGTCACATTATGATCCATGAAAAATGTATTTCACTGCCAAGCATCATCAAAATCACACGGCATCACCATTATATTTTTCACAACTATTTCTTTCAAAAAAAAGATCTTGGAAGCCATAGTTGTGGAATTTGTCTTAGTGAAGTGAAAATAGAGTATGGCTGTTACAAGTGTTTCAAGCAAGATTGCAATTTTGTTGTCCATGTGAATTGTGCATTGGAGAAAGAGATGTATGATATAATTGATCAGGTAAATGATGAAAATGAGGAGTCTATTGAAAATTTAGCTATGAATTCTTCCATCACTTGTGTCATTGAAATGAACCAAGAAGGAGAATCCACAAAGATAGAACACTTTAGCCATAATCATAACTTAACATTAGGCAGCAAAATCAAGGAAGATGATGATAAATGTTGCGATGCGTGCATGCTATCCATTTCAACTTCCTTTTACTACTGTTCACAATGTGACTTCCTTCTCCATAAAACCTGTGCTGAATTACCCAGAAGAAAGCATCATTGGTTTCATCGATCTCTCACCACTCTCAATTTAGTGGACATTTACAAATGTGATCGGTGTATGCGTCTCTGCAGTGGTTTTGTTTACATGGATGACACAAAATATGCATTTTGTCTAAGGTGTGCTGGAACTTCTCATACTCTCATATGTCAAGGACACGAGCACTTTCTCTTTTTTGATTTTAAATTCAGAGGGCAATGCAGCGGTTGTGGTGCCATTTGCGAGAAAGGTGCATACAGATGTAAAGATTGTAGTACTTTAGCTTTGGATTTTGCTTGCGTTACACTACCACAAGCAACTCGCTGCAAGTGTGATAGACACTTTCTAAAACTTAGTTTACATGATGAGCATGATGATCCAGAAGAATATTACTGTGACATATGTGAAGAAAAAAGAGATCCAAACTATTGCTTTTATCATTGTATAGTTTGCAATAACTCTGCTCATCCAAAATGTGCTCTTGGAAGATATCCATATATGAAGATCAAGACAGGGATCACTTTCCCATATCAGTATCATCGACACCCTCATTCTCTCATTTTTGTCAAAAAAAGTTATGGCACCTGCTTTTATTGTGATCAACTTTGGCAAGATGTAGCTCTTGAATGTGTAGTTTGTACACCCAGCTTCACCATTCACTACGATTGTTGGGACCGCTACACTCACAGAGTTTGTTAGCTTTCTTATAAAGTGGGAGTGCTTTATTGTTTTTCATTGTATGGGATTATATTTTCCATTGTTAAATAAGCTTTTGTAGTAATAATATCAAACTTTAAATTTGTTGTGAAAGCAATTTTTGATTGAGCCTTAGCCGTTTGGGCTATCATTGTGGGTTTTGCTGGCATTGAGGAAAATATATATATTCCTTCCGAGTCTACGCCTACATCTCTTACAATTCCTAGAGGCTCTCTCAAACAAGTTGCTTCAACCTCGGTCTCACTCTTGTTTTGCTGCAGTTGAACAAAGCCGTGACAAAAAAACTTACATTTCCATAGAAGGATCAGATACACATTTTCTAATTTAAATAGTGAAATTAAGAAAGAACAAAATGAAACAATATATTTTGCAAAGACTAAAGCTATCTTATTCCATTTGAAAGTTAGTTCCTGATAGGTTTGTTAGTGGAATTTCCTCTTAACGGTTTCCTTTCAATAGATCCATTCCTACAACGACTAAAGCTAACCAGAAAGGTGATAGTCTTTAGCTTCAAAATGAAACTAGTTCATTGGCATCCAAAGGAAACGGCAAAGAAAAATGGATGCAAGAAACTGCATTGAAATAATGCAAGAAAAACATGATGTAAATTTAGAGATAGAAAACTATGATGCATTTTCCGAAGGATCAGTCGGAATAGCTTACTTTGATATCAGAAAATGTAGAAAATGCATTCATCTGGGCTTAATTGTTTACAATGATATAGGAAAATTTAATAGGACTAGATTCATCAGGGTTTTACATTTCATAATGAAAAGGAAATCTTGGAAACAGAAGATAAGGATAATATAACAATGATATCCATCCTCTCCAACTCTCCCTCTCTCTTTTTGCTTAATTCCAAGTAATTAAAATATTGCAACATAACAAGAAACTGCTTTCAGTGTGGTATGAACATGTTTGAATAAAAGGTTTTGTTTAACGTTAGTCATTGATGTTGATAAAGAAGAGCACTCTATAACCTTCTTTATGAAAAGTATACCTACCCACTGGATTGTGAGATGATTGGATCAACTCAAAACAAGCAATAGAAATGAAAGCTCCATATTATTAAAGGCTAGAAATAGATTATATAGAATAAATTCACTATTTATAAAAAGGTTTGAGCGTAGTTCAGTAGTTGCTTTGAATTTCGAAAGATTTGGGCACTTGTTAGAACCCACCATAACCCCGAAAAACAAAAAGAAATTCACAACTCAACCATGCATACCTTTGTCAATGCGACAAAAGAATGGAGTTGCTTTTCTTTGATAACAATTCATCCATTGCTTGTTGGGTTGGGAAATGCTTTAGTGCAATGATAAAAAGAGAATAAAAGGTAAAAGGCTTTAGATTGAGTTTTACTCTCCAATGAAGAAATCCAAAAAGCAATTAGATAATGATGCAAGTATGTACCATTAGAGAACAAAGCAATCCATATTTACTCATTCTTCTAATCTATTGCTTGTTTTGGGTGTAAATGCCTGAGAAAATATAAAAAAGATTAAAGAAAAATTTTCTTCTTCCTTTTGTCAAGTTTCAAGATTAAAGTTCATGGTGCATCCATCCATTTAGAAATTTATTTTTTTATATTTGTTTTCAGGCTTATTATGAACAACCATCCATTTATAAATTGCTTGATTTATAAATTAAATTATTTTTTTGTCATTTAACTTTTTCAAAATTTTTATCATGATCATCCAACTCTGAAAAATATCTTTGTAGTCATTATCATTGAATTATAAGTGTTATTAATTTAACAACTTAACAATTAGATAAAAAAATCTCCACTTGACATTTAAACTTGAGTTACCCTAACCACGTGGACATGTCTTTATCATAATAAATATTATTATTTTTAAATTCTTTTTTTTAAATCATTTTTTAATTCTTTTAACTTGACAAGAATAATTGACATGGATGATATTCGCATGGCAAGAGCAGCTAACGAAGTCAGTAACATGAAATACCATGTGAAAGCTTGTCATTTTTTAATAACAACATTTATTATCGTTGGCGATTACAATGATATTTTCTAAATTTTGGGTTATCAAAATTTTTTTTTTTGAAAACTTAAGTGATTAAAAAAAGTGTAATTTGCTCTTTTATATACATTATAGATTTAATTTATTACAAAAAAATATAAATGGTAATTCCAATTTCATTTTCATTAATTTCAATTTTTTGCCTTAATAAAAAAATATAAATATTTCAATTCATTTTCATTGCTTTTCTAATATCAAATGAGAATAAAAAGGATTTATCAAACTTCAATTTTTGTTGCCAGAATCAAAATTTGTTTCTAAAGGATTGCACATAATGTTATTAAAGAAGAGAAATATCACAATTATTTTGTGTACTTTTAGAAACCTTAGAAAGACTATTTCCATGACATTAAATTTGTAAATACTAGAAAATGCATATAATTGAGACTATTTATACAAACCCATCAATAAGAATTTGAGACTCTAATTTATTAGAATTTATTATTGTGAGTATGACTTGCAACTTAACAAAACAAAAATACATAAAACAAAGGCTAAGTGACTAAGAGTCATTATTATTAATGTGTAATTATAATGTGTTTGGAGCACTTGATGTTGACTTGGAAATTATTATTTCATTGTGAATCAACGGCAAGTGGTTAGAACGAATTCCAATTTCTTGACTTGGAAATTATGCACCTTATTCTATTCTAGAAAGATGAAGACAATAATAAATCCAATGATTTATGTTAACATTTAACACTAATAACAGTTAATAGTATTTTTATCCATTGGTTGTTGGCTTTAATTATTTGTTAGGCGTAAATGGTTTAAAGGAACGATCAAAGAGAATAAAGTAAATCTCTTTCCATTTTATTTTGTCAAATTTTTTTGAAATATATATTCATGGTCAAAAAATAATTGTTTTTAGAATTATAGCTTTTTAGTTATTTGTAATATATTAAAATCTAACCTTTGCATTTTATTTAAGGTGATAATGACAAGTTCTTAAGAAACTTAATTATAAAAAAAGTTAATGATAAACACATATTTGGCATTTTCCAAAGTTTAAGTATTTAGTTTTTGACATAATTTAAGTTTAATAAAATTATAAAAAGTATGAATGATTATAATTCCTTAAAACCATTTTATTGGTCTCACTTTTTTTTTGAAAAGTACGTAATTTTATTACTAATTGTTAAAGTCAAGTACAATTTTGGACTTTTATGAATATAAAAGAAATTAGAAATAAAGCAATAAAACAACTTGAACATTCATAATATCAAAATATGGAGAGCACACGAGTATTTAGTTAATTGATTAATGTATGATTTTTTGTCTAAAAAGTATGGTTCGAATTATTTTTTTCTCAATGAAAAAAATCCAAATATGTAGAAATTGGATGCAACAATACCACCTAACGCAATTACAAATTCAAACCTTATCATTTATTATTATTTTTTTTTGAAAAGCTTAAACTTTCATTAAAACAGAGGGCATGAAAGGACCCTTAGACACAAAAACATGCCCTCGAAGGTCACAAAAAGCTCAGACCTTCCTAGAAGACCCTGCACAGACACCATTGCCAATTCCAATAATCAAGCACCGTAAAAAAATCAAGGTGCCTAACCCATTTCAATCCCTACAAACCAGAAACAAAAACTCATGTCCACCGTTCAGCTCAACGCCTATTTGCAAGGAGCCAAAAACACCTATCCTATCATTTACAGCGACCATTTACCCCAAGATCCATTTCTTGGAAGCGACACCATCACAACTCATCCGAGATCATCCCAGAGCCAAACCACAGGTGTTATCACCACCAAACAACCACTCTCAACCAAATCCCATCATTTCATAATACAAAAATCTAGCAGAACTGTAGAAAAATCAAATGAAACTCATGATGCATAGATAAAGGAATTTCCAAAAAGCTGAACTAAGAAGCAGAGCAAGATGAGAAAATAAATTTTTTATCAACAAGCACTTGATATCTTTTCATTTCTTGTATTTATACTAACTTTTGCCTCGTGATTACAAATATTCCCATAAATTTCGGATCTGTGATGAGCACAAAAAATAGAATAAAAACAGTTCAGCACTAACAACCAAAACAACAGATTTTAGTGCCAGCAACAATCCTTAGCATATGGAGAAACAACTAGAAAAAGAGAAAATGAAAACATGACACGGCGCTCAGTTAAGACGTATGACTATGCTGTTAATAACAACACTAATATAAACGACACTATAGGCAGCGTTCCAATAACAAAATATTAAGTTTAAACGATGCCGCATAGACACCCTTTTACTTCCTTCTACAGCATTGTTAACTCATGCCCTTATTTGAATTTTTACTTGCTGGAATCATAAACTTCAATAAACCTCCTTGATTCTAGTAGGATAAACAACTAACTTGTCTATAAGAAATTCAAATCGATCAGCACTTAGTCCCTTGGTAAAAATGTCTGCCACTTGGTCATCAGTGTGATTGTATTCAAGTTGAATCTCACCTTCTTTCACATTATCTCTTAGTGCATGAAACTTCACCCTTATGTGCTTTGTTCTGCTATGCTGAACAGGATTTCTAGCAATAGCCATTGCAGATTGATTATCAACTCTTATCAGAGTAGCTTTTTCCTAAGGAAAATTCAAGTCAGCAAGAACTTTTCTTAGCCACAAGGCTTGATTAGTTGCTGCAGCAATGGCTATGTATTCTGCCTCAGTTGATGACTAAGCAACTACTTCCTGCTTTTTTGAACTCCATGAAAACACACCACTTCCAAAGGAAAAACAGTACCTTCCAGTACTCTTTGAATCATTAACTGATCCAGCCCAATCACTATTAGTGAATCCTTGTAAATCATAGCTTTCAGACTGCTG